TCCTGACCACAGGTGATCCGGCGATACCGAGTGGAACAAAGTACCTCCTTAGTCGCTCTGTCTCTCTCGCACCTCTACGGGTCGCCCTGTAAGTGCGAGAGAGACGGCGCTCGGTGGCGCCTTATGCAAGCGAGTATTACCCGCCTTCACGCAACGTGATTATTCGGAGGCGGGTCTTCTTCTTAACACATGCGACTCGCATTGTCAGAGAAAGCGCAGTGCGCGCCCAAAGAAACGCGTGCCCAAACCGCCTGGCTGGGCACACCGTTAAAAAGGCCGCCACTTTTCGAACGCCGTTGTCCTAGGTCGGGGTGATGCACCTGCAGAGCACCTCGCAGCACGGCGAGCGCCTGTCCACCAACGGGGCCTTCGTCAGGCCCGTGCGGCGCAAGCGGGACAACCTGGTGGTGCAGACGCAGGCGCACGTCACCAGGGTCATGTTCGGCGTCAAGAAGCACTGCACTGAGCACGACGGGCACCACGGGCACCACCACGACGACGACCACCACTGCAAGCCCACGGCGCTGGAGGTGGAGTACCAGCAGGGCAGGGGCAAGGGCGCCCGCCTGCGACGCGCCACCGCCACCAAGGAGATCATCCTCTCGGCAGGTAACACGCACACACAAACACCCAGGCATGCAGTAGGTACTCACACTCACACACATTGAATTGAAGCACATAAACGTAGTAGTAGTCAGTTAATACAGTGCCAAGCGAACGTCACTTTTCAGTGAATATTAAAGAAAGCGGTCAACAGGACGAATGCGTGTACGCATTTTGGCCATGTAATGTTCATCTTAACACATCCTATCCATTACTCAAAGTCATATCAATTTTGTTTTACCAAACATTTGTGAAGTTACACAAACGAATTACAATAAGTCTATTGGCCAAACACTCGTAAAACGTCTACAGATACTTACAAAATTGCACTCCTACTTCATCAGCAGCAAAGTACAACTCACACGACATGGCACAAATGTATACAAACACACACCATCACGCTGTAAGGAACAGTGCACTTACACATAACATCCTGTCAAACCGGCATACCCAAATCCAGTCAACTCACCTCCTGAAAAAACAGACAAACGTTTATGTGCCGTGCTCGAAAGCCAAAAACAGAATGCAAACGCAACACTCCGTGTTAATAAAATTAGTGACAAAACAAACAGAAACAAATTAAGTTTTAGTAAGTAAAACTCTTTTTTTTTCGAGGGGACCGTTGCGTCAGCTTAACGGATGTTTAGTCCGGCCCACGCCACGCCAATGTCAAAAGAAACTCATGACTTCATGAGGCGCATCAAAGAAAACTACTACACTCGCTTCTTACAACACAAGCTAATTATTAAATCAGGTTGGGGGAACAACGGCCTCATGCCGGGGGGAGCGCGGCGTCTCCATCAGATTTGAATCACTCTGGGCAACGAGACGGGCGAATCAGGCGCACGCACACTAGTGTGTGCGTGACGTGCCCCCCGTGAGGCCCGTGAACTCCGCGGCCCCCCACTGTCCGAAAACGCGGTGCCGCGTCCTTGCTGGCGAGGGAGAATCGGAACAAGAACAAGGAGGCCATGGCCGCGGCGTGGGGACGCCACGACGGCGGGGTGGCGTGTCACGACTGAGTCGCGGTGTCGCCACGGACACTCACAGCGCCGGCCTCCGTTCCAGGCGCCCTCAACTCCCCCAAGATCCTGATGCTGTCCGGCGTGGGCCCCGCCAAGCACCTGCAGCAGCACGGCATCCACGTGGTGGCCGACCTGCCCGTCGGCGAGAACCTCCAGGACCACGTGACGACGCACGGCCTGGTCATGGCGCTGGGGAAGACGGCCACGGACGAGCCGGACGCCGTCAAGGTCAAGGAGCTCCACAAGTACAAGAAGACGCACGACGGGCCGCTGGCCGCCACCGGCCCGCTGGGCTGCGGCGTCCTGGCGCAGACGGAGTACGCCGAGGACCCGGACGTGGCCGACATCCAGTACGCCTTCGACGCCGGCAACGCCGAGGACTACGTGCGCGACCCGGAGAACTACTTCGAGATCAACGTGAGCCCCCTGTCGTACTACGACGCCGTCAACATCAGGCCCATCCTGCTGCGGCCCAAGTCGCGGGGCTTCATCCTGCTCAACGACACAGACCCCCTGTGGGGCCCGCCGCTGCTGTACCCCAAGTACGTGACACCACGAGCCGAAATCAAACTTGAATCCAGAGCCGCTAACACCTCGCCTCCCCCCGTAGGTACTTCACCAAGGAGCCCGACCTGCAGGTCCTGGTGGCCGGCATGCAGCTGGCGGTGCGGTGGTCGCGCACCGAGCCCATGGTGCACGCCGGCGCGCGCATGCTGGAGACGCCCTTGCCGGCCTGCAAGCACTTGCAGTGGGGCGACGACGAGTACTGGGCGTGCGTGGCCACCGAGTACACCACCACCATCTACCACCCGGTGGGCACCTGCAAGATGGGCCCCCACGACGACCAGGAGGCCGTCGTGGACTCCAGGTAATTTTTTTCCAATTTGCCAACCATGCAAAGCCTCCCAAAGATATTAAAAACTTTATTTTTTCCTGCGTAGATTGCGGGTGTACGGGGTGAGCCACCTGAGGGTGGTGGACGCGTCCATCATGCCGCTCATCGTGCGCGCCAACACCAACGCCCCCACCATCATGATCGCCGAGAAGGCGGCCGACATGATCAAGCAGGACTGGGGCGAGCCGGCGGGCGAGGAGGAGGACAACGACTACTGAAGCGTGTCGCGTGCGCTCTCGCTCTCTCACACACGTGCTCAAAAGTGCCAAACTATTTTATGCTAGTGTCGGAGTACCTACCGGCCGGACCCTGTACAACACCAAGGCACCATTTGTTACATTTGTTATGTGTTCCTTTTTTCTACGAAATCAATAAAGGGTGTTTCACAGTCACTGCGTTGCCACCATGAGGCTCTGCCGTAATCTAAACAAGCTGTCAAATCGCCTAAAATATATTTTCGATTTTCTTAAAAGCATAATTTTGACCAAAAGAATTCAAATGTTCGAAAGAGCTGAAACTTTAAGTCGATTTGCCTACAGAGGGGGCTCTGCCCAGCTCCGCCATGCAGATTGATCCTAGGCCCGATGCTTTTTCCGCGCGGCTCGCTTTCTTTCGACGGGTTGCGCCAGCAGACCGATTCCGAGAGGCGTGTTCGTCGCCCTGTCTCTCTCGCACTCACGGGGCGTCCAGTGTAGGTGCGAGGGAGACAGAGCAAGTCTGCGGGGAGGCGAGCTTGTAATTCGGCGAACGACAAGGAGCAAAGCGGCACCCCTCCCAGGCGGTGAGTCGACAAACTACTCGGTCGTGAGGCGCATCCCGGCAGTAGCCGCGGGCCCTCCGATCCGTCCGAGTCCCTCTTGCAGTGCGCCAGCGTCCGAGCGCCGCCCCTCACACCGCCTAGGCCGTGCCGCTCGCAGGTAAGCCCCGCCGTCGTCGTACCGAGATTCAGTAAAGATCTCATGCAACGTGCCCCCGTCGCCAACGGCAACATTTTACAAGCGTGCCATGCATGAGATGGACAGTCCGAAGGATGCATTTTGAAATGTTGGAGCCCGGTAACGATTCCGTGGATGCGTAATACCCGGTGGAGTTCACTTATCCTCTCAGGGACTCGTTCGTAAGGACGCCACGCCACTGGGCGATGACAGCGCCCCGCAGCGTCGCACCACGGCAGCTCACCTGAAACACAAGGAAAACGCACACGGTTACGATCATGTGATGACGGCCGCATTTTGTGCTGCAGCCCCACTTAAACGAGATGCAGCGATGCAGGTGTGTTTGTGTGTAAGTGCCTGTGTGTGAGCGCCGACAAGCTGTATAAAGCCTGCAGCACAAACTTGCCCTGGTTACGGTGAGGCAACCCACACCACAGCACCACATAGCTCCACTTGAACTTGCCCTATGACCTCACACCTACCGTCGCCTCCTGTCTCGCTCTCTCTCCAACTCTGTAACAACTCCTCTCTCTCCTTGTCCTTCCTTTTAAATTCCGTACTAATTTAATTACACCTGGAGGCCGCATAGCGGCAGGACACTCCCCCTCCACTTTGTTTTGTCTTGTCGACGTACAGTACAATGCTGTTTCGTACTCGAGCAACGTGACCGCGACCACGTAGGGCCACAGTAGCGTGCGTGTGTATTATGTGAGTGTGTGTGTGCGTGTGTGTGTTGATCCCGCTCCCCTCCCGCGGGGAAGAAGATAATGGGAAGGACGGCAACGCAATGCCGTTTGGGCAGTGATGGTGAAAGATCGCGCGGGAAACAGTTGCGGATGCGGGAGTGGAGGGAGAGCGACAGAGAGAGAGGGGTAGGAACGGACGGGCGAGTCAGAGAGAGAGAGAGAGAGAGAGAGAGAGAGAGACGGCGAGCAGAGGTGCGGCTAGGACAAACAATCCGCACGTTTTCGGAGACGCCTTCGAGACGGTCTTGTGGGCGGCGGGGCGGCGGCGGCGGGCACTCGCCGGTCTTGCGAGAGCCCCTCGGAAGGTCCGGCCCAATCGGCGTGCCTGCATCTCCGGAGGATCCCTCCAAAACGCGACGCGATCGGTGCAGACGGCTTACGTAAAAACGACACGAAACGACTGACTGCGTTCCGAAGGGCTTTTCCATCTCGAGGCGGCAACGACAGTCGGCATTTTTATTTCATTATTTTTCTGACGCGGTCGACGTGCCCGTCCGCTGGCTGGACACCCGGGAGGAGAAGACGCTCCCGAAGTTGGGCAACCGAGCCCCGATCGTCGTGGTGCAGCCCGCGCAGCCTCCGACAGCTTCGCTTCATTTGAATACTCCCGCCCTCGCCTAATGAAGCTATCAGGCCGGAGAGGGGGCGGGCAGGCGCCAAGGGAGGGGGCGGCCAGTGTATGAGCACGGCCAGGACGGGGAGGGGGCCCCGACGGCCCCGACGGCCCGGCGCTGGGTCCCTGCAGCACGCCGGCCCGGCCGCACCGCCAGACTGCCAGAGCAGACCGCACCGGGCCGACCGGACGACGCACGCGCGCCACCGCAGTGACGCCCTGACGCGAACCGCGATAACAGCAGTGATCAGTGACAAGTCAGTGAGCAGAGTCAGTGAGACGTCACTGACAAGTCAGTGGCGAAGCCAGTTACGCGAGAGTGACGTGTCAGTGACAAGTCAGTGGCCTAGTCGGACGAACGTTAGTGGCAGCAGTGCCAATGGAGAGGATAACCGATTGGATTACCTTAGCACGGTAAGTGACACCCAAAAACAACAACCTCAAATCGGGACAGTCGAAAGACAGTGACTACCAATATTAAAATTTTTATGTAAAATTGACGTGTGAATAGCTCTCTGAGAGAAACGTTTCTCGCACGTGACATTTTTCAAAAGTGCAACAGCAGCGTCTGCTACGTACTTCACTCCCTGGTCGAAGTCATTTGTCAAAGCAATGCAAACAGACGCACTTAGTGTTGTCCCGCACGCAAGGTGCGCCCTCCGGTCGATTCGTGTGTGTTGCCATTCACCTGTCACAGGCTGGCCGCACGCCGCGCCACGCCGCGCCACGCCCCCAGACCCTTCCCCCGAGCCCTTCGGCGGTTACATCACGTGCCTTGAAAGCCGGGCGCGTTGCAAAGCGGCCCATTGATGCACCCAGATGGCTGGCCATGCATTTATCGTCTAGCAAACAAAACGCGGTCCTCACGCCTGGTGGTGCGGCGTGTCGCTGTGGGGGCGGAGAGGCATTGCCCCACTCGGCGCGGTCGCGTCGGCCAGGAAGAAATGCTGCCAATTACTGGCGTCTTTCTTTCAAAAGCCGAGCGAGCGCGGCGTTCTGCCAAGAGTTGCCGAAGCCACTTCCTGGCAGACCAGTCGGCCGGACTTCCTTCCCGACTGCACCGCCAGCACCGCGTGGACGACGTCGTGATGAACCTCGTGCACCTCGTAGTTGAGGAGGGCCTCGTGGACGCCGTATTGTTGCCCACGTCTCACTACGTGTCCGCGGTGCATTGCATCACGGTGCAACGAGAGAGAGAGAGAGAGAGAGAGAGAGAGAGAGAGAGAGAGAGAGAGAGAGCTGCACGCCATCACGTTCGCTAATAGACAGACAAATGTGGAAGAACCGGAACAGCGCGCAATGAGCTTAATTTGTTCCGAGCCTGGAGCCGAGTCCGCGGCCGTCGGCGGCCACCCTGGCCGAGCTGGCGGCCAGCAAAGCGCCCCGCCGGTTGCCTCACCGAGGGTCCACGGCGGGTTTCCGGCTCCGGGGCGCGCGGCGCGCATGGGAATTATTCACAAAATATCGACACTGGGCGGCGCCTGGTATCCCAGAGGAACGTGGGTTCCTAGAGTGTAGGTATGCCGGCGCTCTAACTGCGCCCCGCGTTCAACTCACCCGGCCTTTCCGTATCGAGCCATTCCGCGACATGATCGTAACCGGAGAGGCAGCGATACACTGTCAAAAGTTGTAAACCGAGGCAGAACGACTCTGTTCGGCCCGCTGGACACAGTTGCTGGACCGCCCCTTGCGAAAGAGCTTGGCCGACGTGCCGGGCCACGCGTCCACCAAATTGGACCGAGGATTCAAAACCTTTCCGCCGCGGACGAACCCGGCGTCGAACGAGGAGGCCGAGGTGGAAACCTCCCGGAGGGCCTCCAAGGGCCGGCAGAGGGCCAACGTCCTTCGCTGCACCGTTCGTATCGGACCCGGCGTCCTTGGCCGGGACTGGAGCAGCACGCCCTCATAGCACTAGTGCCCTGCTGACGAGCCCCACCAGGCTGATCCCCAACGGTTTCATTTTCAGCGCTCTGTCTGTCTCGCATTCACGGCAAGGAAGCGAGAGAGACAGAGCTGTGAAGCACGCGCTGTTCTGAATGGCTCAGTCGACCCGGCCCCATCAACTCCAAGTGTGGTGACCCTTTAGCTCGGCGGGGTCAAGCCCGGGTAGGCTGGCATCGAGAACACAAGGCACGATGACTTTTAGCCTGGCTCGAGCGGCAGGTTAGCGGTGGCGTGGCTGCATGCTAGATCGAGGCAGCGCGGCCCCAACGACACCGACTCGCCCCGTATTTATTTTTGTCACTTGGGCTCGGCTAGTCCTGCAAGTCCGGTCCTCGAATGCAGCCGCTTACACACTTACACACACGAACAAGACGCACGTGCTGCAGGAAGGGTCGCCGACCTCAAGCTCAGGGTGCACGGACAGGCCTTCGACCGGGCCCATGGTCAATGGTGGGCACACACACACACACACACACACACACACAGAGGCACGGCCCTCGGTGGCTTTGGTGGTCGTGACGAAAGGAAGAGGACTCTCTCGCTGCTTGTGACAAGCTTTCCGGCGTGTGAGTGTGTGATCGCATGCTGCTGCCGCGCTGGAGCAACGAGATACCGAACCGACGCAACCCGACCGTCGTCCTTTAATTAGAATAAATAATTGGAATTTCGGTAAAGTCACCTGCGAGCGCACTTCCCCTTGCATGCCGCAGCGCGAGCACAAATACACACACACACACACGCACACAAACACTTATACAGGAGTGCGCGTTACAGACAGCTTCACTGCCGATCAAGCCGATAGACTTTCACTGCAGTCGGAAGCGGCGTGGCGTGGCATGGCATAGCGTGGCATGGCGTGGCCGTCGTCGCGTCCGACTTGCAGCATCTGTAATGTATGCAAACCCGGCGGCGGCTCGGCTCCCCGAGGCCGGTTTATAGGTTAGGGTTGGCCCGGCGTGCCGCGACGAGGAACGACAAGGCGGTGACTTGCGCGTTGCATCAGGCGGGGCGGCCGATCGTCAGTCAGGGAGCCTCGCCGCCTCACTATGACAAATTGCCGCGCGGATGGCCACGACGACACGTTGGATAACGTTCTCAATGGCGACGCGTTTCGGGACCGTCCGTCTCCCTCGCACTCACGGAGCGCCGCGTGGGGGTGCGAGAGAGACAGAAACGGCTCTGCGAGGCGCTAATGAAATCCTTGGCAAAGAGGAACCGCGGCGGACCGGCCGCGCCCCGCGGAGAGTCAAAAGGTCCCCGCCGAACCGCGAACGCAGCGCGGGAAAACGGTGGAGGCGACTTCCGGAACTAGCAGACGACGCGCCATTGTAGTGCCGATAGAGACAATTCGGCGACAGACAGACGGACAGGCAGCAGTGGGTGTGGCAAGGACCGGCCGATGGTTGCCGAAGTGTCCCTAATGACTGCGGCCCAGCCGGCGAGGAGGACGCCGCCGTGGAGATGAGCAGTGGTTCTATTCCTAACAGCTGGCTTTCGCTGCTAGCTCTGTCTCTCTCGCACTCCTGGTCCATGTAGCAGGCTGCAGGGTTCAAAACGTGTCTGTAGCGTCACGTCCGCATACAAGCAGGTCATCAGCTCCCTGTGCGTGAGCAGCGCACATACACTGCGGACGACTCGCCGCATTCTCGCCGTGTCGCAAAAACTCGAAATGGCGCGCCGATTTATGAATCGACAGGCCGTTTAGGGCCGGCGATTACCCGCCGGGGGCAAAAACACTCGACGCCGTAAAGAGGCACTGGCAGCGTGGTCGGCCGGTAGCACTGCTGGCACTCTACAATGTGGCGGCGGGTTTTCGGCGCCCGCGGCGGCACGCGCCACTCCGCTGCAGCGCTGCAGCGTGGGGCCCTCGTGCACCACGCCCCAATCCGTCTCTCTCGCACCTGTCCACCACGCCCCCTGAGTGCGAGAGATGCCGTGACGCCGCCGCGATGCGGGCCGCGAGGATGACCCGCTGACCCGCTTGGGTGGCGCAACCCGACAAAAAGACAACACACACGTGTATCATTTGCTCGACCAGGAACAGCCGCCATGATCGGCGACGCCCACGCCGCACTCCAGCCTGGGCGCACTCCAGCCTGGAACACTCCAGCATGCTTTGTGCCGTCGGAAAAAACACACGGTGCCACCATGAGTGCGAGAGAGACAGCGAGCGCCGTTCGGGCTCAGGCCGCGGGCAGGATCTAGTTTGGGCCACTCAGGTCAGGGGGCGGGTTGCGTCTCGTTCCCACGACCGAGGCGCGTCAACCTGCCTATTCACCGGGCCGGAGCGGAGCTGGCACGACCACGACCCTGGGTCCGATCCTGGCCGGTCACAGTCGAGTTGATTCCGCAAATTTTGAGTTGAGCAAACATTTTTTTCAAATCTCTTTCGCCAACCGCCGCTCCTCCAAAAGAAACAGGCCGATTGGCACCAATAATGCGACAAGTCTCGCAACCCCGTCGCGAGGAACGCGTTCCAGGAAACGCGTCCAAAAAGGCGGGAGACGCCCGTGGCCAGGCCCAGTAACCTTTCACCCCCACCACCGACGGACCGACTTCGGGGCTAGTTGTTTTCGGCGCGTCGCCCGAAGGTGAATGACTACGCCGGGGATGGGCCAGTGAGCCGGGGAAGGAAGTTGGCACACAGCCCCCTCCCTCCTCTAGAGGCGTACACACCTCGGAGCAGTCTCATGGTAATCGCGACAGTGGTGACGAACGCGGTCGCAAAACTACACCCGCCAAAAAATTCCTTTCAATTTCCCCCAAAAAATTGTTTTAAGTTAAAGGTGATTTGTTGTAAAACCGTCTAAATTTTTCTTTATACAGTCAAAAATGCTTGACACCTCGGTAATGCAACGTCGCGGCCGTGGCCCTCCCCAGTGTGTCACCCAGGCCCGGCGCGCGCCGTTCGCGTGGCCCGGCCGGCTGGGTGTGGTGTGGGTGGGTAACAGGTTCACGCCGATCCCACCGCCCGCACGCCCGCAAGCGCGCCGCGCCGCACAGGGCCACTTTCGTCACACGGAGCCGGCGCGGAGGTCACGGGGTCGGTGGGCATCTGGACCACCGGCGCCAGCAGACTATCCCAGGAACCGGCATGCCTATAAAAATATGCATATGATCCGTTGAATATCCAATCAAGTGGGAGAGAGCTCGTAGTATCTTGCGGAAACTCCAGCGCAGTCCCGGCTTTTTTTTTTAGACGAACCTGCCTCCAAACGAGCGGGAAAAGCAAACGCGTGCAATGCACCGCACTGCAGTGCAATGCAGTGCCGAGCAATGCCACACCTCAATGGCAGCGGACGTGCGATACGCCTTCCACGTGTTGCGTCAGCCCAGATAAGGAAGGTCGCTCAACCAGTCCAGCTTTCTCCAGGCCGGCGGGGAGGGGTGCGGCCACGGGTCCAGCAGCACAGTAGCAGTCTGGAGTGTGGGCAGTGACCATTACCTCGGGCAACGCGTCGGCGTCAGGGTCGGCGCCCGTTCTTCTGTGTTACATCGCCGCCGGTAATGCGTTATTACTTGATTTCCTGTCCGCACTCAACACGAGATCCGTATCCTTTTCAAATAGAAATGCAGGAGAAAAGGAAACGGTCGAGCATGAGAAAAACTGTGCCATCTGTTAAAAAAATAATGACAGTAGTAAGTGTTCCCCTTAGTCACCGGACGCCATTTTGGTCTCCCACAGTCGTGAGTTGTAAGTGTCCCCGAAAGTCGCGAGTAGTAAGTATCCCTCTGAGTCGCGGTGCGCCATCGCGATCCCCCACGGGCCGGGAAGTCCGCCGCGTCCCGGACCTCCTCGACGACGGCCTCGTTCCCGACCACCCCGGACATCTCGTCATCGCGTCGAACTGTCGGCCAGATCCCGAACGGCAGAAAACGACCGCCTGACTCCTCGGTCGGGTTGTTTCGTCACGGCGGTACACTCCACGCGCCACGCGGCCACTGCGCCTCAAATGCTAATCCTGCGCCGAAAAGGCGCGCCACCCCGGAAAGCTGCGGGGGAGTAGCACCAGATCTCCCAGAAAAAAAAAACAACACACATACACACGAGGTATTGCGTTTCTTGGAAATGTGGGAAGTATTTATGTAAGCCTTTTAGTGTGTAGGAATGAGCAAACTTTTTCTAATGCAGAACCGATAACTGGTTCAACGAGGCGTCCGCGGGCGCGCACGCTCCGACGCTGCAGTCCGGAAGTCCGGAAGGATGCTCTAACCACGGCGGCCCCACTGCCTGCCAAATTTCCCCCATCTCGACCTCGAATTTTTGGGAGAAACGCGCAACGCAACGGGCGAGGCGGCGCCGACGCCGCCACTCCTCGCTACAAACTGGGCGCTCTATTTGCCCGGCGTAACCATTCTCTCCCAAACAGTCTCGAGACGTCGCGCCGCGCGAGAAGTCGCCACGGCACTGCGAGGTGGCAAGGGTTTGCAGGTTTCCGGCGGGCATCGTGAGAAGCTGTCATGCAGCGGCGGGGCCCGGGGCTCAGCCTCCCACACGCACTGGATCCCGTGGGACCACACACACGGAAGGAGCGGAATGGAGATTAGTGCTGGCACCGCAAATTCATTAGCTCCCCTCCAGTGAGCTTGGCTGAGTCAGTCAAGTGTGTGCTAGCTGTCGTCGTTGAAGTAATGCCCGGCACGCAAGCAAACATTTGTCTGGGACAAAGTGAAAAATTACAGTTCATCGCACGCGCTCAGGCAAGCAATGCATCAAGTTGTCTCATAGTAAAGTGCATTGGCAAATCCTGTACACTTTTGGCGTCGAGAGAATTAAATTTTCTTGCCAATTATTAGTGAAATTGGGCATTCACTTAATTCAAAAAATTTCGAAGATTTTCACCTGGGCACTAAATATCTTCGACTAAAATTTTATACATTTCCGAATTCCATTCAACTAACAAATTTTTCTGAGGGACTTCCAGGAAAGGCAATCCGATTTTCTGCAGTCCATCGTCCGTCCGCAAAATAAGGCGTGAGTACTCGTCGTCCGCCTCGGTGGTCATCCACGCGAGAGGATTCATGAGACGAGGGGGAGGGGGCAGTTTCGGTGAGGGGAGGGGGAGGGTCGGCGGCGTGGCGGGGCATGCCCATGGCGTAACGGAGCCCAGTCTGCAACGCACGTAACAGCTTCGGCCAGCTGCACCGCTGCCCGTCCCCTCGCGCCTGTCTGTCTGACTGTCCGTTCGTCTGTCCGTCTGTCTCGCCGAGCCCTCGACCGCCGGGGCCTCGACGCACGCCAGGACAGTAGCGGTCCCCGTCACTCCGGTTATTCGTGGTGCGCGCTTCGCAAGTGTGACTCTGCCCCTCGGCCGCCCTTTCCTCCCCCTCCCCTCCCCAGGGCGTACGTGAGCCACGGCATGGAGGCGTCGGGGCTGCAGCGGGTGCCAGCAGTGTGATTCCGAAAATTGCTTCCGTCGCTCTGTCTCTCTCGCACTCATGGTCAGGTCCGTAATGGTGTGGGAGAAACAGAGCGACGAAATGAAGCGTGGCTCATTCAAATCCGGGGCCCACGCCTCGTCCAATCTACGCACGGCCCGCGCTTGCACCGCTTGGCGAGGCTTTGCGCCACTAGCCTCGCGCAAGGGGGTTCCACTGGCCCCACTGGGGCAGCGTAGCGCAGCGCCCCGGCCGGGGCAGCTCCCATGTCCACCGTTGCGACAGGCCGCCCTCGCCGAGAGTCACACGCCACGTTTCAGCAGGAAACAGAAAAGAACATCAAGACGGCCATCATGCACTACGGCGGGCCAAAATTATTGCGGTCAGTGCCTTCCCCGAAACGACCCCGATTCAGCTTTCCTTTACGTGTGGGGCGGGAACGCCCACACTTAGACACACACACAGGCGTACTTTCGCCGGCCACCGCAGCCCCGCCCGCGCCATGTCAGCGACTCTCACTCACCCCCACCCCTCCCCGCCCTTGCCCTTCGGCCCAAACTTGACCCCTACTCCCCCCCTCCCCTCCACCACGCCGCGAGCGGGGGTGGAGCGCCACGATGCGGGCAACGCCATTCAGTCCATTCCACGCGGGCACACACACCCTCGCACGCACGGACGGCCGCGTGGTCCAGTGCAGCATCCCAGACGTCTCGACTGTGAATAGTGTGTACAGTGGTGTGAATAGTGTGAATAGTGTCCGCCCCGCACGCCGTCATCCTCAAGATGCGGAGCGTGTCCCAACGCCGGGCGAGCAACTTGGACTAATTCGTGTGAGTGTGCGCGTCTTCGCGGGGGCGCGTGTGTGTGTTTGTGTCATTTCGTGCATGTGTGTACCGGGCCGCGTAGGTGTGTCGCGCTCAAGTGTCTCGACATACCCGCAAGACACACAAAAAAAACGAAACACAAGAAAAACAATGGGTTCGGACACTTGAAAAACCAACTCTGTTCTTCTGTTGACAGATGAGCGCCGCTGGTGCCGCCACCGCGTCCCTGTGATCCCTGACCGAGAGCCGGCAGCGCCATGGTGGCGGTGACGGGGGTGGTGACGGTGGTGGGCGCCGCCATCAAGGCCGCCACGGGGCTGGTGGGCGTGGGCAAGACCCTCTGGTTCCTGCCCACCTTCCTGGCGGCGCTGGCCTACTACAACTACGACCTGTTCGACCCGGAGCAGCGGCCCATCAACCAGCGCGTGCTGCGCGAGGAGTACGACTTCATCATCGTGGGGGGCGGCTCCGCAGGTGACTACCCTCTTAGTCTGTCTCGCTGTCGCGATGGGCCTTCTGGGCCAATGCCGCCCGGTGGCGTCCGCTGCCATCCGGACACATTTCTCGCGTCGTGGCGTAACCTGGTCGCAACCTAGGGCGCGTAGCCGCCGGCGCCACAGAGCAGCCCAGGCAGCCGCCCTGCCCGCTGCCTTGCCCTTGGCGTTCATTACGCAGAGGTTGCCACACTGTCGCGGGTTCAAGTACCGGCCAGGCCCACCATTTTAAAACCATTTTTTCCCGGGCGCATTGCGGCGCGGTCACGTTTCCGTCACGTTCTCGTCACGTTCTGGACGTGCCGATCGCTGCTTTCTCTGCTTCCGGGCCGCGGCAGGCCGAGGCAGGCCGAGGCGCCGTCCTCTCTACTTGGCCGGCCCGCGAGCCAAGGCCACTAGACGACCCGCGGCCCCGCGAGGCACGCAGATGTCGCCACCGGCAAATTAGGTCACCGCCACGCGGACGCGGGTTCAACTCCCCAGTGAACTAACTTTTTTGTTTCCCTATCTGCAGGCGCGGTCCTCGCCAACCGGCTGAGCGAGGTGCCGCACTGGAACATACTGCTGCTGGAGGCGGGCGGCCACGAGACCGAGATCTCCGACGTGCCCGTCCTGTCCCTGTACCTGCACAAGAGCAAGCTCGACTGGAAGTACCGACCGCAGGCCCAAGACACGGCGTGCCAGGCCATGATAGACAAGCGGTGCTGCTGGACCAAGGGTGAGTCGATCATCCCTATGCCCCCGTAGTAGTGTCCCCTGGTTGGTGCCCCTACGAGCCCTAGTTTCGACGCCGTCCTTTTCACAGGCAAGGTCATCGGCGGCTCCTCTGTGCTCAACACGATGCTGTACATCCGCGGCAACCGACGCGACTACGACCAGTGGGCCAGCATGGGCAACTACGGCTGGTCCTTCGACGAGGTGCTGCCCTACTTCAAGAAGAGCGAGGACCAGCGCAACCCGTACCTGGCCAAGTCGCCGTACCACGGCGTCGGCGGCTACCTCACCGTGCAGGACAACCCGTACAACACGCCGCTCGGCGTCGCCTTCGTGCAGGCCGGCGAGGAGCTGGGGTAGGTGTCACGCATGCGCGCGCCAAACTAAGCCCAAAATCGGCAAATTTTTCAATTTTTTGTTTTGTTAAGGTACGACATCACGGACGTCAACGGTGCTCAGCAGACGGGCTACGCCTTCTACCAGTACACCATGCGGCGCGGGCAGCGCTGCTCCACGGCCAAGGCGTTCCTGCGGCCGGTGCGCCTGCGAAAGAACCTGCACATCGCGCTCTGGGCGCACGCCACCAAGATCCTCATCGAGCCCACCACCAAGCGCGCGTACGGCGTCGAGTTCATCCGGGACGGCGCCAAGAGGGTGGCGCTGGCGCGCAGGGAGGTCATCTTGTCGGCGGGGGCCGTCGCCTCGCCGCAGCTGCTGCTCCTGTCAGGTCAGTCGGAAATATTTTCGGTTCAAAATGAGCCGCTAGGCAGAAATGCACGTCGCCAACGAAACGTTCTGGCGATCAGCTGTTGCTGCCTGGGCAGGCGGGCACGCGGCGAGCCGCCGCGCGCCTCGCCACGCCCCGTGTCCCGTTACACCAGTTTTTCGTAACGTAAGCAAAATCACGCAACACGCATATGACGAGGGAGCGCGGCGGCGGCGCGGCGATTTGAGCGAAATGTGGCATTTCCACCGGCAAAAAGAAAGCAAGGCGCACGCTAACTCGGGCGCAGGCCGTGCCCAGTCCAGCGCCACGCAAATGGTTACTGTATTGGCATGCCGGGGGTCGTGCTCTAGTGCTCCAGTGCCCCAGCGAGGCGGCTGGCCAGCACCACGCACCGCTGCACCTGCGCCTCGCTGCACATGTTTCTGCACGCCCCGGCGGCGTTACCCAATTCCAGTGTACTGCCAACGACGCGCTACATTTGCCGAGCGCTTATCTCCTAGAGGGAAACAGTGCAAAAAATCGAGAAAAATATGAAATGATGACACTATCTCTTGGTTCCTGCAGGCATCGGCGACGCTGAGCACCTCCAGGAGGTCGGCGTGCCCCTGGTGCACCACTTGCCCGGGGTGGGCCAGAACCTGCAGGACCACATCTCGGCGGCCGGGCTCACGTTCCAGGTCGACTACCCCGTGTCCCTGGTCCAGAACCGACTCGTCAACATCAACTCGGCACTGAGGTGGGTGAACGGCGCTGGCTGGGTTCGATCCCGTCCCGCTGCTGCAAAATGCTCATTCCGTTTGTCCGTCTGCAGGTACGCCATCCTGGGCGACGGACCCCTGACGTCGAGCGTGGGCCTGGAGGCGGTGGGCTTCTTCACCACCAAGTACGGCAACCAGTCCGACGACTGGCCCGACATGGAGTTCATGTTGGTGTCCACGTCTGCCACCACCGACGGCGGCACCCAGGTAAGCACGCGCAGCCAGCCCGAACTACGGCCCGACTGATTCAGCGTCCTTCTCACACGCTTCCTGTTGCAGATCAAGAAGGCCCACGGGCTGACGGACGCCTTCTACAACGACTACTTCGCGCCGCTCAACGGCAAGGACGTCTTCAGCGTGTGGCCCATGATCCTGCGGCCCAAGAGCAGGGGCTACATCAAGCTGCGCAGCAATGACCCGCTGCGCTACCCGCTCATGGTGCACAACTACCTGACGCACCCCGACGACGTGCGCGTCATGCGCGAGGGCGTCAAGCAGGCCATCGCCTTCGGGGAGACGGCGGCGCTCAAGCGCTTCGGTTCGCGGTTCTGGCGCAAGCCAGCGCCGGGCTGCAAGCACCTGCAGGTCTACACGGACGAGTACTGGGAGTGCTACATCCGCCAGTACACGCTCACCATCTACCACTTGTCCGGCACCTGCAAGATGGGCCCCGCCTCGGACCCGGCCGCCGTCGTGGACCCCGAGCTCCGCGTGCACGGCATCAAGGGACTGCGCGTCATCGACGCCTCCATCATGCCCAGGGTCACCTCGGGCAACATCAACGCGCCCACCATCATGATCGGCGAGAAGGGCTCCGACCTCATCAAGGCCCTGTGGAGGAACGGCCGGAGGAGACGGAGAAGAAGAGACTTGCGCTCCTTCTCCACGCACGCGTGCGATAACTGCACCGTGTACGAGATTTGAGCCTCTTTGTGACTTCCAAACCTCGTCCGCTGGGGGCTTCGGGCTTGGAATGTCCGGGACCTCCACGCGCCTTTGCGACTGCTGGAGTCTCCAGCGCGTCAAGAAGCTCAATGAAGCTTGAACGAGGCACGGCACGGCCGTGCCACACACACACACACACTCGCGCGCAGTGTGTGAGTGAAAGCGTGAGTGCATTAGTGTGCGGGAGAGGTCGCCTTGCCAAAGCACGCTCGCGCGCCACGATGGCGGGGCCGAGTCTGATCGGATCCGGGCTAGTCAGCGAGCCGTCCTGGTGAAGGGCGGGCCCGCGCCTTCCTAGATAGACACTAGACAATTCATCGTTCACCTTCGGTCAGCTGTCTGACTTTTCACAAGATGGACGTGCCTGCAGCGGCTGCCGCATCTACCTCGTCATTTCCGCAGGCCTGCTGGGAGGACGCCCGTCTCTCTTTTCGATTCTGTCGCGAACGGTTCACGATAACACGGCCTGAACAGGTCAGTTTTTGAGCTAACGCCATCAAGATTCCATGAGAGTTAGAAAGTAACAAGGTTTTGAGGAAAGCACATTTCTCAGAAACACAGACACGTCCTATGGTTACCAACCCTTTGCTCAAAATGTAAATGTTAATCCGATCCTTGTGTCTGTTAATTGTAGGTGTACATATTACCATTTAAAAACATACATTTAAGTAAGTGTAGTCATGTGTAATTAGATAAATTGTTATTTTTTGTGTAAGAACTGAGATCCGGTTACGTGTTTAAACCACAAATAAATGTTATTTATTACGTTTTCGAATTTTTCTCTCTTTTTCCGTAATTCTATCTACACCTACTCGTTCCCACGTAAAACACACATATAAATTCCAAAAATGCAAGCCATAAAAAGACACGTAAAGGATAGAAACAATGGCTGCAAAGAAAGCAAGAAAGAAGAAACTTAAGACTTCATAAGTAATGAATGAACGAATGGACCACTCAATGAATGGATGGATGAATCAATGAAAAGAGAAATAACTTTACAGACCAAGGAGACACAAAGTGCGTTGCTGACCCACCCTGGAGGGAATTCCGAGCATGGAGTATCTGCTCTCGCTAGGCGATACTCCAGCCTGCCGCAAAGCCAGAGCGCGGAGTATATCCAGCAGTCTGGGCTACGTCCCGATAGGTGGCGCTAGCTCAGCGGCGGGAATGGAATGGATGTTCTACGGCCCCAGCGGTGCCGACGTACAAACACAAACACAATTTTCACGCTCGGTGTTTACTTGTTCGATTTCCAAAATAGCCTACCTAAAATTAAAAAAAGTAAATGTAGTGAAATTTTATTTTCCTGCTCTGTTTTACTGGTAGCCAATACTTGCTTGACTTTGTTTCTTAAAAACATCATACAGAATAATCTTGTTCCCGATTTTTGCAACAGTAGAAGGGATAGAATGCAGCAGGTGCCCACTCACACACAGGCAGACGCTCACACAGACAGACGCGCGCTGTGTCCAGTCCTTTCACTCATTTCATGCCTGTCCCTTCCCCACGACACGAGACAGACTGCCATGACAGAACAGGAAAAGCACCTAGGATGACATGCACTACTACTACTACTCCCGGCTGGCCCATCCAACCAATCCTACGTTTCCTCCCCTCTGCGTGCAGAGGGTCATTTGCGGTCCAAGCTACTTCAAGTCAAGTCGTATCTCCAGACTTACCTCAACACAAACTTCACAGGAAACCGAACTGTGGTTGTTTTGCTTTTTTGCAACTGCTACTGCCATGCCAGTGCGCGATGCAAACATGCAAATGAGCGAGGAAACAATGTTATGCCACTATTGCCTACTATCTACTGCGTGTGCGGTAACCAACCAGCTTCGGCTGACTTCGGCCTACGCGCGCGCACACGCACACACACACACACACGTGCAATCCGCCGCAGTTCGAAATTAGCGACTCGTCGTTGCGGCCGGCAAACCGCCATGCACGACCCTGCCACGCACAGTTGCGTCGCACTGCACTGCAAACGCGCGTCCGGCAACCGGCAAGGCTGAACTGTTTCTTCTTTGCTATTTTCATTCGAGTAGCGAAAAAAAGGCATCTAAGCGTAAAAACTCTTCACTTGAGGTTATTGTGAAAATCAAGCCAAGGTGTCCAAAAATTAGCACCTGACCGCAACATTCTCGATCATTCCCTAGCGTGCAGTGGTGCGTGCTGACGCCAGCAAAAAGGCGCACCACTCCGGCGCGCGGGTATTCGAACCCGGGCCGGGCCGCGCGGGGCACCACCGCCACCGTTTATTGGTGCTGATCCGAATGGAATGCGTAATTGATACATAAAGCGGTGCCGCACCACGCCTCTGTCTCAGGGAGAGCTGTTAGGTAACACTGGCCGGCCGATCCTGGCCCGGCGTCCCGGCGGCATGGCCTGGCGGCCTGGCCGGCTGGCCGAGCCCCAAGCCAGTCAGCCTGGCCCGGCCTGGCCCCGGCTTGCCCCGGGCTGCCCTGCCCGACAGGCGTGGCATGGCGCGGCGTGGCCGCTCACTTTCTTTGGCCGTGAGAGGAACCTGGGGACGGCAGGGGGAAGGGGAGAGGGGAGGGAGCCCCGTGCAAGCGTCGTGCCCAGGTCCGCCCCTCGGGCTCCGTTGTTCAATGATGATGGTACTCCGACATTTTGTAGATTGGCGCGATCCGTGAGAAGGAACAAGGAAGAAGGAGGAGGAGGGGGTAATTAGTCCGTGCAGCCAGGCCGCGAAAAAGGCGGCGACGCAATCGGCGAGCTGCCGAGCCGAGAAGCTGGTCGCGGGGATCGAACGAGGCTCTAGGCCCTTTTTAAGGGCCCTTAAGGTCCTATGAGCCCTTAAGGTCCTATGAGCCTTTAAGGCCATTTGGGCCCTAAGGCCATTTGGGCCCTTAAGCCCATTTGGGCCCTGGCCATTTAGGTCCTTTAGGCCCTTTGGGCTCTTTAGGCCATTTAGTGCCTTAAGGCCCTTTAAGCCAATTAGGCTGTGGCCGCTGCAGCATCGTGCAAATAGCGCTTGCTTTCAGACACAGGTGCACTTCCGAGCGACTCGGGAGATGCAGCCTCGCCCTTCCCACATGGACAGCAGCCACTCTCACAGGCACTACTCCCCTCTGCGTCGAGAGCGGCCGGCCAGACGGGCGGCGAGACGCGTCATCGCGCTGCTGTCATCACTGCCCTGCCCCACTGCTAGAGGACCTTCATGGCGTGCTGCTCATTCCGTGGGGTGGGGCGCGGCGCGGCGCCCGGCCACGCTGGCGGAAACCGAACCAGACTTCCGCGCGTCCGCGCTCGCCCCGCCCCACCCCGCCGTCTTGTCTAGCGCCATGTCGTCCACCACGCTCACTAATCACTCAACTGTGCCGCCGCCGCCGCCGTCCACTCGCAGAAACTGGATCAGATTTCTCGCGCGGGCGGAAACAACGGCGACGCGTTTTCCGAATTCGTAAACATATTTCCATGACTTTTTGGATTGTTTACTTTTTTGTGAGTGTGTGTGTGTGTGTGCTTGCATTGCCATACGTACGGCGAACACGCCCTCCCGCGGCCGGCAAGGCACGGGACGACGCCAAGTGCTAGCAGAGTTCGCGTGCACACACACGAACGTGCGCGACCAGTGTGTGTGCAAACCGATGGAAAGCAGAGTCGGCGTGCGTGCGCGCGTGTGAGTGTGTGTGTGTGTGTGTGCGCGCGCTCACACGGACTGACTATAAGGACACGTGGCGTGAGGCATCCTCCGCGGGTCAGCGACGACGGAACACTCACACACGCACACACACACACAAACGCGCGCGGGCAGGCGATGTGCAGTCCGTGCACGTGGAGGGTGCACATAACACGGCAGCGACACACCTGTGGAGTGGAGGGTGAGAAACACAGCCACGCGGAAGCGATGGCATGCGTTCATTGCGTGTGCGATTCCGAGTTCATTCATTCATTATTTGGAAATTTCCGGACTGCAGAGGCCCTCGTCCTCTCTGAGGGCAACCGGGGGGAGCTTGGGGGCGGTGTAAGGAAGCCAGGCGGCCAGCGAGAGGCATTTACGGAGCGTCTTGAGACAACACAGCAGTAATGAGTAGTGTCGCTGCAGCCTCTCCGCGAATAGCCTGTCGAATCTGGAGGCGGTGCTCCAGAGAGCTCCAGCCTGCCTCCAGCCCTGCAGCCCTCCAGCCGTGGCCTGCCGACCCATCCATCAGGAAGGTTGCCTCTTTGCCTTTCTCTCTGGCTGTGCTGTGCTGGCTGTATACAGTGCCGTGCCGCGGTAGCGGAGTAGCGTCCAACGTCCATCAAGCAGTCCACCACCGCAGCGATCAGTCCGGCCAAATCGTCCACATAAAAAGCTGCCACTCCTTTCGGAGGGGCGCGCGCGAGAGAGAGGAGGCGATCCACAACGAGAAAGAACAATACAAACAATTCTGGGGGAAAGGCAGCGGCGAGTCATGGAGCGTCACTGGGAGTCGAACCCACGACCAAATAGTGCGCCCCCCGCGGAGAGGGCACGCGTGCTGCATCACGGCCGTGCCTCGCGTCTGGGTTTCACTCGCCGCGCCACGACGCGCCACGCCACGCCCGGGCCGCGCACACTGTGGGAAGCAGCGGCCAATCAAAATGCACCTGTGACCTTTCCCCCGGCCCGAGGGAAGGCCCGATTCCGTTCCCAGACCGACGCCCAGGCCGCCACATTTTCGGACGCCGCGACTCGAACACGGCGACCATCTCAGACAAGACGCCCAGGGATAGAAAAAAAACCGAAATGGTTTACTTTTCGTGCGAAACTGAGTACGAGAAATTCAGACGACAGTGGCGGGTGCGGTGTTGTTTTCCAATCGACTTCCGATACGCCTCGGGCCGGACCGTGACACACGACGGTGGACCAGCTGCAGCCGCCAAAACAGGAAGGAGAGGAGGAACGGGACGAGGAGTAGCAGCGCCAGGCCAAAGTCACGTCAGCCACCACCCCTTTCACCACCCATCTCTCTCTCTCTCTCTCTCTCTCTCTCTCTCTCTCTCTCTCTCTCCCTCGGCCGTCGCTATTTCTCATTTTTGCCCAACATTGTCGTCGCATCGTCGTGGGAAGTCGCGCGACGTCACAATGAGTAACGACACGGCGTCCATCTGCGTGACGGTGCGTGACCGCCATACGCACGCACGGCATCAATGTCGCGAGAAGAAAAACAACAACACCGACAGCAACAACAACAACACGAAAAAAGAGAACGGCGCCCATTACGGCACGCGGCGTAACGAGAAGGCGCCGCCCGGCCGAGCCAAATTAAGGCAAAAGTAATAAATATGAAAAAGGGACGCGACAAAAACAAAAACAACGCCCCGCTGCGCCTTTCTCGCCCCGTATCAAACAACAACAACAAGAGCAGCGGCATGCACAATGCACTGCATGGCCAGGTCCAGCAGCTTCCTGCAGGGAAAGGTCATCGCCGCGCCGAAGATCTCATACATAACGAAAACGCGCTTCCCAACGCTGCACTTGTTCCCTTCCCACGTGCGCATGCGCAGTGCATGCGCTCCTCGTTAAATCTAGTTGTTGTTGTTTTTTTCGGCGAGTGTGGCGATGCGTCGTCGGCTGTAAGTGATGCGCTAATGATGGCATTAAGGCCGGGCACTTTCTAGCTGACGGTCAGCCGGCACCCCGAGCCCACTCCGTGCCCACTCCGTGCCCACTCCACGCACTCTGTGGTCTGCAACCTTACCCCGCAGAGCCGCTCCGAACGGCGTCGCTCTGTCTCACTCGCACGCGGCCGGCGCGGCCCCCCAGTGCGGGCGAGACGGAGCGACGGGACCACTCTTCGGCCGCAGCCGGCTGCCTGCACCCGCCGACCTCACCTTCCGCAGAGCTAATCTGCCCCGATATGAAAGTGTGAAACGACTCGTGTGGTTTCGGAACGAAAACCAGCGGCAGCGCGGCGCGTTTTGTTTTATCCAACGGTATTCAGACAAAACTTCACAGAAAAAATAAAAATCAAATCAATTTTTAAAATATTTGTTGATGTATTAATGACATGACAGGTAAAGACCTAGGTAAAATGTGGCTAAAGCTTTGGTGTTCACATTAAACTTCAAGGCAAAATTTTAAAAAAAATCGGAAAAAACACGACCCCGTTCAAGTTTTTGAAACTTTAAGAAAACTTTTAACAGTGGGGCTCAACGAACTCGGAGCCCTTCTTGGAGTCCGAAAGGCAAGGGGGGAAAGAACAACGCGTCCAGTGCCGGTGAAGAAAAGCATTCCTTCAACTGTCCAGAGCAGGTCCGTCCGAGCGACATTCCTAGTCCGGTCACAATCCCCCCGGACCAAACACAAACACCCGTCCGGCCGTCCTCATCAGGCAGCCATTGAGGAGTACAATGAGGAGCTCGGATTAGCAATTCATCGGGCTGGCGGCCGAAGACGCCGTCGAGGACGCCGTCGAGGACGCCGTCGAGGACGCCGTCGAGGACGCCGTCGAGGACGCCGTCGAGGACGCCGTCGGGGACGCCGTCGAGGACGCCGTCGAGGACGCCGTCGAGGCAGGCCCCGGGCCAGCGGAAGAGATTACCCTGAGCCGCTGCTTAACAACCCCAGTCTCGGTGTCTTTGTGCAACGCGCGCCGAGCTGCAGCGCTGCAGCACGGTCCGGAAACGCGAGGCTGGCGACGCGCACCTCGGGAGGCGCAGCGGAGCGAGCAAGCCAAGCTGCCTTAAAATGAAGTAAAGGAAAAAAAACAAGGAAAGAAGATTGCACAGTGCGCGAGGGATGGCACCTTCTAACGTCAGTCAAGAATCGAGGAACCAAACAACGTGGAAAATCGACCGAAAAAGAGTGATTGTGTGATGCTCCTACCTGGTTGTGGTATTATAATGACAAGCATAATCCCACGAAAATCTCTCCGGACGAGAACACTCTTTCCTCAAGCCCTAGATTTAGGACTCCGCCAACTGGGCCTTTTGTGGCCGCTGGTCCTCTGGGTGCGTTCGGCAGGAACAGCCTCCGCGGCAGGGGAGCGGGGCGGGGTGGGGGCCCAGAGGTGCGGGGGTGGGGGTGGCGGGGAGGGGAGGGGCGCGGCTCGCCGGCTGGAGTGCCGCGCTGCGTGGGGCTGCGGGGCTCGGCCGGCCAGTTCCTCGTGACACCTGCACGCCGGCGCACGCCCGTGCCAGCGCCGCCCCGCGCACCACCCCGTCGCGAGTGCATTCAGTGTGTTTCTGTGTCTGTGTGTGTGCGCGCGATACCTAGTGCAGTGTGCAAGTGTGTGTGTGAAAGTGACGTGATGCCGCACCGGATCGTTACAGGGATTACCGACGACTTGTCGCGGCTCTAGGTGAGTGTCCCCCCGCCCCACCCCCTCGTCCTCGGAGAAGTAATCCAATTGTGCCTCACACCACTGCGAGGCGGGACTGCAAAGTTGCCACTCCCAGCGGGGAACACTCCTTTCTACAGTCGACGGGGCCGCATTCTCCGCGGAAACCAAGACGACGGACAACAGTGTGTGTGGCTGTGTGTGTGTGTGTCGTGAGTGTGTAGGTGTGCGTGTCTCTTTTCCTCAAACAAAAACGCGGGGAAAAGAGTTTAAAAACTGGCGCCAATCTAGACGCTGCAAAACCGTCGGCACGCGGTGCGTTTCAAAACACCGGACAGCTTGGCGACACCGCCCCGCCACCGCACGCCCTTGGGGCTCAGACAATGTCGTGGACGGGGATGTGGTCAGGGACGACGGCCAGTGCTTGTCAGTCACAGTTGGTACTGTACAAGTGTTTGGTGGGTGCATTCGAGTGCTTGCTTGCTTGGAGACCTCAACGCTCGGGCCTTCTCGCCGGCCGCTCCCCCCACCGCGCCCTGAGGCCTGGGCCGGCCCGGGCCCCGGGGGCCGGTGAGGGGTCCGAGCCCGCGCAGCCAACAACATGGTGTAAGGCTCACATCGAAAGTTACGCAACAGTCTGAGCAGCGGAATCAGGGCCGGAGGAAGGGGAGGAAGTGGACGCAGACGGACGGACGGCGGACGGAGGAAGAGGCGGTCGGAATCTGGACGGACGCAGTCGGCATGGGAAGGTCCCAAACCACCTTGCACGTCAATAAACACACTCGCGCGCTCGCACACACGCACAGACACACACACAGCACACGCACATGCAAGCAACAAACCTAACGGGACACGCAAACAACTCACGGCGATTTTCAAAAAAGAAAAGTGTGTTTTTTTTGTGTATTTTTGGAGTATAGAATGGCAGACCTCTTTCCCCAGGGGCGCATGGACGTGCTAAACAACCGTGCCGTTTTGGAGGCAACAGGCATTGGCCACGCCGCAGCCGTGCACTATCGGACGGACGATCGGGGATGACCTAACCTAGACGACACACGCGTGGACCGAATACTTTGACAGGCCCGTGGCACGTACACTCACACACACGTACACACACACACACACACACACACACACACGTACACACGTCCGTGCGCGCGTCATCAGCACGCACGGCTGCAGGGAAAGTGTTATGTGGTGTTGGATCTTGGGGAGCGCCACTTCCAAACCGACTGATCCGGTTCGGGGCCGCGCCGTGCATCGGCTGACCGGCCCAAATAAAAATATATACGAATATAAATAAATAAAAAATAAAGCCAGCTGGGGGCTTTAGCACCGCCTTCACTGGCAACAGGAGCCATCCCTACGAAAGCGGGCGGTATGGAAAAACGCTGACGTAACCCGCAAACTTGACCCAGTTCGGCGGCCTCCCAGCTCTAAGCCCGCCCGGCCCGCCCCCGCACCGGGCGATGCGTGGCCTGTGTGACCATTCTGCACGCTCGGACGGGCTGCACTGCGGCGACCATGAGCCGGGGGAGGAGAGGGAGGAGGACAAGCAGAGGGGCAAGAAGAAGAAGAATGCCCGTGAGGCAAGGTGTCAGAGCGACTGTGGCCACCGCTGGTGGTCAGGAGGGCTATGCAACAATCGGCCGGGTTTGCCCCGAATATAGCAGGTCTGAAACGAAATACACACAGCACATGCGCAACACCTCTGATCTGCATCTCGATAACATCGATCGTCCTTCAAAATGCCGAGCGGAAAAACCGATAACCTTCCCCTTGAGTAAACTGGCCACCCGAGATTGTTGCTCTTGTTGTTTCTGTTGGCATTTTTGTTATTTTTTCTGTTGTAAGCGCGCCCAAACTAGGGGTGGCCGCGCTCGGCCGCGCTTGCGACAGCGTGGCCCGGGCGGCGCGCGCGACGGGGACTCCAAGGCACGCGCCACACATGGCACACGCGGCGGCGTGACGCGCACGCGGGGCGCACGCGAGCATGCCGGAAGGAAATGGTCTGCCGCCACTCGCGCAAAAATAACACGTGCGAGACGGCCGGCGCCAAAAACTATGAATAAGGAAGGGGGTTTGCTTGCGGCGCGCAATCCAAGTGCCGGAATCTTGACGAATATTTGCTGCTCTTGTTCCAGGATGCCCCAGAGGATGTCCGGGAGGCTAAAACAGCGGCACTTGTCACCGGGAGACCATAGGTAGTACTCGGCGAAACTGGGGGTACGTACCGCAGGCTGGGATGCAGCCCATGAATCGACCTAACTGCGCTAACCTAACAGGCCATTCACTCAAATTTTCAAAATCTTTTTATCGCTGCAAGCATTTTGCTCTTTGGTCTTCAGAACTGTTTGTCAAGTAAATACATATTTTTGGCTGCCTAAACAGCATCGAGGCCAAAGGCCTGCCCCTCGCAGCTGAAATTCCTCTTCAATCATTTTTCTTTGTCGCAGGCCCCACCATGGCCCCCGCACTGCCCGCCCTGCCCCTCCTGGGGAGCGGGGGGGCCTCCATGGCGCTGGGGCTGGTCCCGCTGGTCGCCATAGGGATGATCTTCATGAGGTACACCGCCATCGACCCGGAGTCCAGGCCCATCGACGTGCGCGAGGTGAGTGAACACAGACAGACGCACAGGCAGACAGACGGGCGAAGAAACGGGGTCAAACGGTAGTCTTAAATAATCGTCTTCACGCTTCACGACCCATACTTGACACTGCGCGGCGCCCGGTCGTTACTCACGTGGCCATAACCCTCTCAACATCGAGCACGCCGTCAAGCACACCGACGGGCACGACGCCGTCGGGGCACGAGCGCGTCGCCTGGCGTCGCCTGCGCGCGATAACCTAGCCGGCACGGAAGCCCAGCGAGCCGGGCCGAGCCAGCCAGCCAGGCGCGCCGGCGAGATGCTCCTTTGGGTAGGCCATGATGCAATGAGTGCACACAAGCAGCTAACGCTTTGCACAGACGGACGGACAACAGACGGCCAGGCAGACAGACGCCGCACACTTCCTCCATAAAAAGCGGCGCCGGCTGCCCGGGTCGTTTGCGCGCGCACCAAGCCGTCAAAGAACAAAGTGGTTCAAGAGCTTGGGGCAGGTCGCGCAGCCCGATTCCGAGCCGTGACCTGTCTCTCTCGCACTCGCGGGGCTCCCTGCAGGGGTGCGAGTGAGGCAGAGCACGGCGTGGCGTCACTCCGCCTCACGCAGAAAGAAAGACAAACATTATGACGACGCCGGCGGTGCGGCTTTTAGCAGGCCTTTAGCATACGCTGCCAGAGAAAGGACTCCGACACGCTAAAATCAGCACGCGCATTTCCTTTCGCGTTTCCTAATTATCATCGTCGTTTCCTTTCAAATCTTGCATCACGGGCGCGCCGGCCGTCGCGTGCCGCCGCGCGGACATAAGGCACCCATAACCGCCAAAACAAGCAGCGCCATCCAGTCCTGCACGACTGTCGGTGCAAGAAGGTCAACACGACCAGGAGAGAAAGGAAACAGCCAATCATCACCTGGCTGTCTGTTATCTAATGAGTGTCCAGGGAATTCAGGGTCAGAGAAAGGAGGTAGATTTGACTAAATCGGTTTGACAGTGCACTCCGCGGGGAAGTACCCGCACCGATGTATGTGTGTCAGTACTAACGAGCGTGTCGCGCAAAAACGAGCGGCGCTTAGCGACGTCGACGGGGAGTTCGGGGCTCATTCGGGACCCCCGGCACTACCGCCGCACCGAGCTGCGCGCCGGCGGGCCGCGGCAGGCCGATCAAATGACAATGACAGTGTGTTTTCACGCGCCGTCGGCTTCGGCCCTTCCGTCGCCGGGCCTGACGCAACAGGTCGTGAAACAGTTTATGTGCAAGCCGCCCTGGACCCCTATGGACCGGGACCACCGCGACCACCGCGGCGACGACCACCTCTGTTGACGGCCACCTCTGTCCCCCAGGTGCTGCCGGTGTACGACTTCGTCATCGTGGGCGGCGGCTCGGCGGGGGCGGTGCTGGCCAACCGCCTGTCCGAGGTCACCGACTGGACCGTGCTGCTGCTGGAGGCCGGCGGCGATGAGACCGAGATCTCCGACGTGCCCTCCCTCGCCGGCTACCTGCAGCTCTCGGACATGGACTGGCAGTACAAGACGTCGCCGCCAGGCAAGTCCCCGGACTGCGTACTTGAGAGTGATTGACTCTATCCGCGCGCCGGTTTCCGCCCCAGGAGTCGCCTTTTCGTGTTAACCAGTGTATCTTAATCGTGGCGAAGACAGGCTTCACAAGGCTGCGAACGCACTGTGGCGGGCGGTGGAGACAGCGCGGCGACGTCGCCGAGGTTCCCACGGGCCTCGCGGCGCAACAATAGTGCCGCAAGAGAAGATGTCGCAGAGGTGTTGATGAGTGTGGTAACAGATTAGCTAACGGACGCGTCATCGGCCCTTCGACGAGGATGCCCCCCGCGGCCAGGGGCGGCCGGGGCGTCCGGGGGACGTTGCATAGCCGCGAGGAATTCTCACGGAAGGGCGGCAGGCAGCTTTGCACACGGCTCGCGGCTCGCTCTCCAGTCCGGAAGCCCCCAGCGAGCCGCCGAGCCTCCAGCGAGCCGTCGCACACTACTCTCGCGGCCACCGCTGCAACCGCTCGCCGGGCTGGAAAAAAAACTCAGGCAAACTCCGAAAACGCGGATTGCACGCATTCATAACGCGCGGGAAAGAGTAAAGACAAGGAGCGCGAGTCATTACCCTGAAAGTGAAGCGGCGCGCACTCGCAAATAACACGTTTCCGGACGCGGGACTTGACCGCCTCCTGCAGGATTGCGTGCGCGGCCCGACGGCGGCCTTTCCGCCATGCCGCGCCATTAAGGCGTTGACGTGTTTGACGTACATGGGCAGCTAGAGGGCTGCCGCCGAACTAACGCACCCTTTCCCCTCGTGCAGGCGGCGACGCGGCCTACTGCCTGGCCATGAACGGCGACCGCTGCAACTGGCCGCGCGGCAAGGTGCTCGGCGGCTCCTCCGTGCTCAACGCCATGATCTACGTGCGCGGCAACCGCTACGACTACGACAACTGGGAGCAGCTGGGCAACCCGGGCTGGGGCTACGACAGCGTGCTGCCGTACTTCAAGAAGAGCGAGGACAACCGCAACCCCTACCTGGCGCGCACGCCGTACCACGGCACCGGCGGCTACCTCACGGTGCAGGAGGCGCCCTGGCGGACGCCGCTGTCCCTCGCCTTCGTGCAGGCCGGCGTCGAGCTCGGGTACGTCCGCCGCGGGTAAAACCAGGTGTGTTGTTGAAATTAGAACTGACTCTGACCTAGCCACTGCCTTCCTCCCGCAGGTACCCGAACCGGGACATCAACGGCGCCAAGCAGGCCGGCTTCATGCTGTCGCAGCTCACCATCCGGCGCGGGTCGCGCTGCTCCACTGCCAAGGCGTTCCTGCGGCCCGTCCGCCTGCGCAACAACCTCCACGTGGCGCTCAAGGCGCAGGCCCTCAAGGTGCTCATCGACCCGGGGCAGACTTCCAGCGACAAGACGGGCAGCGGCGCCATCCCGTTCGCGTACGGCGTGCAGTTCATGCGCGGCAGTCGCAAGCAGGTCGTCCGCGTGCGCAGAGAGGTAAGCGTGTCCATACCCCACGTCGCGGGGGACTTTCAAAACAACAAAGCCAGTTCCGTTAGCTGCAAGAGTTATCGTCACAGGCGACATTCTCACTTGGGTACCGACGCAATGCATAACGCCGCCCGGACCGCTTTCAGACCGGACTGCGTGGGGTATCGCCGCGTTCAACTGCTCTCTCCTTGCAGGTGATCCTGTCGTCGGGCGCCATCGGCTCTCCGCAGCTGCTCATGGTGTCGGGCGTGGGCCCGCGCGCGCACCTGCAGGAGCTGGGCATCCCCGTGGTGGCCGACCTCAAGGTGGGCCACAACCTGCAGGACCACGTCGGGCTGGGCGGGCTCACGTACCTGGTGGACGAGCCCGTCACCTTCAAGAAGTCGCGCTTCCAGACCGTGGCCGTGGGCCTGGAGTACATCTTCAACGAGCGAGGGCCGCTCACGACCGGCGGCGTCGAGGGCCTCGCCTTCGTCAACTCTAAGTACGCCAACAAGTCCATCGACTTCCCGGACATCCAGTTCCACTTCGCGCCCAGCTCCGTCAACTCGGACGGCGGCGAGCAGATCCGGAAGATCCTGGGGCTGCGCGACCGCGTGTACAACACCATGTACAAGCCGCTGGTCAACGCGGAGACGTGGACCATCCTGCCGCTGCTGCTGCGACCCAAGAGTTCGGGCTGGGTGCGACTCAAGAGCCGCAACCCGCTGCACTACCCGCTCATCGAGCCCAACTACTTCGCGCACCGCGAGGACATCGACGTGCTCATCGAGGGCATCCGCATCGCCAACGCCGTGTCCAACACCACGGCCTTCCAGCGCTTCGCGTCGCGGCCGCTCACCACGCCCATGCCGGGCTGCCGCCACCACCCCTTCGACTCGGACGCCTACTGGGAGTGCGCCATCCGCCACTTCACCTTCACCATCTACCACCCCACCGGCACCTGCAAGATGGGGCCCATCACGGACCCGGACGCCGTCGTGGACCCCCGCCTGCGCGTCTACGGCGTGCAGCGGCTGCGCGTCGTCGACGCCTCCATCATGCCGCAGATCGTGTCGGGCAACCCCAACGCCCCCGTCATCATGATCGGCGAGAAGGCGGCCGACATGATCAAGGAGGACTGGGGCGTCAAGACCACGTAGACGGGGCCAAACTGGGACCGGGCGTCCCTTTTACCGGAGGACATCATTTTCGGACTCAAAAAAAATCGGGTCTCCTTTTAATTATTTAGAAAACAAAAATCTTCAAAGGACCGCATGTTGAAGCATGAGCCCCAGCCATGGTCAGAATGGGGGAACTAGTTGAGCCCGTTCGATGCTAGTCACGGGCAGAGGGGGCAGCCTTGCCCCTGTGATGTTAACTGCCTTTTAGGAAATATTTTTGCAAACTGCGACCGCCAAATTTTTTATGGCGGTGAAATGAATCGTACTCTCTCTAACTCATGTGCCAAGCAGGCGCGGTTCGCGGGACGTAGCCATACAAGTCCGATACTGAACCCAAGCAGACTGAAATGGGTTGCCGGGAGGGTGATGTTGTTACCTTTGTTGTTGTTGTTATTGTTGTTATTCTGCCGGTTTATTTATTGTACACCCTCTAACAAACAGGAAGAATCCAGGTCCGGGCCCATTCTCGATTCGTAGAGGGTGTGCTGTACATATTCGCGATAGTAATTACGTGACCTAGTTACATTAAGTCTGCCAAGTGTAATTTATTTTTTTACGTAGTGTTGTGTACATTGTAAACTGAGTTTTGTAAATAGAAATAAATTTGTGAATTACCAGAGTGTTGGACCCGCCTCGTTTCCACCGGAACACATACCTGAAAGCAAACAAATGGAAATTATGACCGATTGCGCATCGAATAGAGAGAGAGAACTAGGGTACAACATTGGCAATACCCCACGCGCCGGGATCACAATTAATTCGCTACTTACAACCAAAAATGGGGAAACAAGCGGAAGCTCACACGTGTTGCAGGCGACATCCCTTGCCAGTGGAGAATGGTAACAAAAACTAAGCGTCTATACCCCCACGACGCTGGAAGCGGTTAAAACTAAACGTCAATACCCCACGACGCTGGAAGCGGTTAAAACTAAGCGTCTATACCCCACGACGCTGGAAGCGGTTAAAACTAAACGTCTATACCCCACGACGCTTGGAGCGCGCGCGGCATTAGAACCGACGACACGGCAACTACCCGAGTAGCGGCGATACTCCGCGCGTGTCCACCGGCCGCGGCGCCGTCCATACCCCCGGCCACGGCGGCGGGCGTCTCTCCAGCGGGCAGGCCGAGGCGCCGCGGCGGCAGCCAAGCCAAGCCAGGCGCACGTATGGTAATTGGCCGATGACACCAGCGGGGGCCGTCGGTGCCCGGCGGCCGCAACGGGCCGCGGTCGGCGTGGCGCAACGGCCAGTGCACGAAGAGCCCGTTTCGGACATGAACTTATGAGACCGCCTCGGCGCGCGAGTTCGTCTGCCGGTTCCTTCCTGGGGCGGGGCGGGGCGGGGCGGGGCGGGGCGACCCGGCGGCCCCTGATGCAAGCCACTGTTTGACCCCAAAAGCTCGACACATCGCATTAGTTTGACTTCTGCCGACCCGACCGCATCGCTGGAGGCTGGGGGCCGGGGGCTGCTCCAGTCGGCGCGGTGGGCGGGGGCCCGGTGGGCCAGGTGGGCACGGCGGCCCGGCCGGTCAGGCGTAACCAACCGCGTCAGCTGAAAACGACGAGCCCCACGAGGCCACGCGGCGACGACCACCACGTCCGCCGGAGACGTCATCGCCTCCACCGGAAGCGGCGGTTACGATCGCCGCGCGAAATATCTGCTAAAATAAAAAGACACCGCGGCCGCCTCCGCGCTGGCCGGCCGCCGGTCGTTTGAGGGGGAAAAGACCGTTGTTGGCGCCCTCTGCAGTCAAAGTGGACGGCAGACCGATTCCGAGCGCCGTCTCTCTCGCACCTGCCCGGAGCGCCCCGCGAGTGCGAGAGAGACAGAGCGACCGAACTGCCGTTCGGGATCGGTCCGCCGGCGCGAAGTGCGGACGTGACCCGCGGCACGTGGCGCCTGCCGCGCCGCTGCACCGCGCTCCGTCTCTCTCGCACTCACGGCGCTCTGCGTGGGTGCGAGAGAGACAGAGAGACGACTCTCAGATTCCGACTGCTAGAGCTAGAGGAAGCTGGACGGGCCTGGAGCTGGAACAGCACAAGAACCAAGTACCTCCGCTCAAGCTAACTGCCCGTTTTCCAGGAGCTTAAAATTTTCCAAAACGGCCGTTGATTTAATTCCACCCTATCGCGGGCGCGGCAGGGAGCCGCGGGACACACATAACACGCCACCAACCCGATTAGACAACAATAATAAAACTTTGACGATCGTCACTCCCGACTGCCATGAGAAAGTTGTATAAGGGACTTGGGCGACCGATGCAGGCTGCGGGTTTTTTTCCCCTTTTTCTATGCAAATGTTTCCCGTACAAGACGAAAATCTCGAGAAAAAAGAAAGGTGAAAGGAGCTGTGGAATAATTCCAGAATCGGCGGCTTGGACTCTTCGAGAACGCTCTTCGTCACGCGCAGGATACACTTCAAGGACAAAGGTCCACCCCTCGGACACCTCGGCGGCCACCACTACCCCTTGACGGCCAGGTCCTGACGGGAAAACCCTGACGCTGACGGCCACCCCGAAAGGCCTCCCCCTTGACGGCCACCTTCGACGGCCACCTCTTGGCGTGCACGTGGAGGCCGTCACGTCGGCACGCGTCACTCGCGCCGCGGGCTGCCGCCCTGGCCGCCGCCGCCCTGGCCGCTGCGCGCGGGGTGTGGCGATGTGACTTCCTGCCCGTATTGCAACAGTCCCGGCCGCTCAGCCTGGGGCCGACGGGGCCGCGGCGGGGGACAGGGGCGCGGCGGCGCGGCGCGGTGCGGCGCGGTGCGTGTACCGGCGACAGGTGTTCGACCACGGGAGGTACGACGGGGACCCCACGCGGGCGGCGGTGTCGTCACGGAAAGACAAAAAGACGCGCGTCCTCGGCGCATGCGACAACGGCACCGCACCGTCGTCCTTCCTGAACCGCCGCCCCGGGTTCAAATACCCGCGGGGCAAAAAAGGCGCGCCGGTTCGCAGCAGCGCGCTCCGGGCGTTCCGGGCGTTCCGGCGGCAGGCGCCGTGGACCGCGACGACACATGCAGGCCGCGGGGCCGCGGAATCCGCGGCACGCCCGCGCGGTCCAATCCAACGGGCGGCATGGCCACGCCGACCACGGGGAAGCGGCTCTGTTCCAAGGTATGCCGAGGAAGACACGGCGGCCGCCTGGCTGGGCCCGCGTCCCGCGTCCCGGGTCTCCGGCACGAAAACGGAACAACCGGGGAAAGGGGACAGGACGCGCTCAGTCCGGCCGGAAAGGGAGAGGAGCAGTCCGGAAGGAGGGGAGGGGGGAGAGGGAGGGGAACAAGAGGAGAGGAACTTCGCGTGCGGGATCTCATGGGGCGTGCCGGGGCCGCTGCGGCGCCATGGCCTATATAGAACGCAGACTACACACCGACACGGGCGCAAACACACACTCACACATGCACAGGCCAAAACAAGGAACAAAAGGTGCCGGGCGTCCTGTGCGGCCCCACCTGCTCGTTCACAGCGTGGGAACATTTAACTAGGTGCGTCGCATCACCGGCTCGGCTCGGCCCGGCGCGCGCGGCCCGGCCGGCACATCGCCCCGGCTCGGCTCGTATGCACCCACCGTTGCGTTGGCGGAGCGCGGCTGCATTGAGGCGCCGGGACGTTTTATAAGCGATTACGCTGGCAACGGCGGGGAGTTTACACAAAACACATTCCCATTCGCGGCGCGGCACGGCGCGGCGGCACGGAGGCAGTCGAGATTAGCCGCGCTACGTGGGGGAGTACGAGTACGGCACACACGGCCGGGCCTGGGCCGGCCTCCAGACGCCTGCGTCACTTCGCCAGACTCCAGACAGACTCAATCCAGCCGAGTGTTATGCACATCGAGCCGGCCCAAACCGATAGGCGCTTCCGCGACACTCCGGCCAAACCCCGCGCCAGCCAGTTTCAGGCAGCGTCCCCAGTGCACCTGCACTCCGCCCGTCGTCGCTCTGTCTCTCTCGCACCCTTACGAGCGCGAGAGAGACAGAGCGGTCGGCATCGTGCCGTCAACACAGGGCGGCGGCGACGCGCCGGGTGATGGAGTAGAGCACGCCGACGACGGCGGCCTTCGTGGTGGGTGGGGCCGCGGGCCGTGCCGCCGTGCCGCCGTGCCGGTCCTCGCGGTCGTCCTCGCCACCGGAAGAGCGCCTCCGTTAGATAACCACGTGCGTACGGCGCCGGGACAGCCGGGACGGCCAGGTCGCCGCCGTGGCCACTGTAAAAACGGCCGCCGAACGATTTACAGTTCCATCAAACGCGACGCGCGCGGTGATGGACTGGCTGTCCGTAGCGCTGCCAGCTCCGGCCGCCCGCAATCAGGCTGTCCCTAGTTTATGTAAAGCGGCGTGTAGGACAGCCAGCCAGCCGACAAGCCAGCAACAACAACAACAACAACAACAACAACAACAACAAATAAGACAGATATCCACGTCGCCAAGCGCCTGTCACGCGGCAGGATAGGCCAGCCCGTAACGCACACATGCGCGGCGGGTTGCCTGGCCGACTTTGGCAGGCGCTTGGCCCAGCCCGGCCCGACTGGGACCTCCGTTAGGACTGCACTGCCGCCACTCAAGCACAAATTTTGAGCCCGGCTGGGCGGGACGCTTGGATATAGCTCGGGGGCGCAGGGCGCAGCCAAGCCGGACGGGGACGGAGCGTGGTCAGGTGACGAGATCTCGAAACCGCACGACGGGGCGAAAGTAAGTCCCACTGCCAATTTGTGTGCGCGTCGCGTAATATAGGCCACTGTGTGCGTGTGTGTACACTGGCAAGGCGGGCCCCGCAGCTGCAGCACTGCAGCCAGATCATGAAGCGAATACTCCCCGCGGCAGTTGCACCAGCGCGCCGGGGGTTTCATATGCAGTTTAGTGCAATATAGTCCGACTACTTGCGTCCCCCGAGTGCGCGTGTGTGTGTGTGCATGTGTGTGTGTGCGTGCGCGTGTGTTTGTTTGTGTGTGTGCCCGCGTTCTCTTCCCATTACCCCCCGGTGCATTGTGGCAGGTGCTTACGCGCTTAATGAGGAAATGACGCTCTTGTCATGGCCGCCCCGCCTGCCCACGGCAGAGTCTATGGCAGAGTCTATGGCAAAGCCTATGGCAAAGCCTATGGCATTGCGTGGCGCTCAAATTACCCCTCGGCAGGGGGTTGGCGGGTGCAGCGCCGGCCGAGCGAGGTCGCTCTGTCTCTCTCGCACCCCTGCGGGACGCCCCACGAGTGCGAGAGAGACAGAGCGACGACGCGATCCTTCGCGATCGCAGCGCCCCGAGGCTGAGCAATGGCTTCATCCCGCTCCATATCGCCTTTGTTGGCGGACCATAACACCGGCCAGCAGCGCCGGCCGCCGACTCCAGAGGACCGTTGGGTCGCTCTGTCTCTGTCGCACTCGCGGGGCGTGCCGCGGCGGAGCGAGAGAGACAGAGCGGCGACAGCGAGCAGGACGCCCCTTCTCCTTCTTCTCCTCCTCCCTCGCCGCCGCTTTAGTCATAAGGAGGTTACCGCGTACCGCGCAGCGCGCCATCGACAGCGCAATCTTTTGACCAACCAAACCAGCAACCGGAGGCGGCCAGCCAGGCAGCCAGCCAGCCGGCCAGGCAGCCAGCCAGCCGTGCGCACAAGGAAGCGTGCGCGTGCGCCGGCGACGTCGGCAACCCGGAGCACCGGGCGGCGCGGCGGGGCGGCCGCCTTGAGCAACGGCCGCACGGCGTGCAGCAGCAGCAGCCAGTGCTTTACATCCATCAACGCGTTTTGAAAGAGCGGCTTGTCCCCTGCACCGGCATATCATTACCGCAGCCAGATGGCCGCCTGACCGACTTACCGGTTTCCGGGGCCGACCGATCGGGGGGGCGGCTGGACCCCCGCCGCCCCGCCCCGCCCGGCCAGCGAGGTGTGGCGAATGTGTGGGGGGCAACGACGGGGTGCGACACTAAGAGGCGTCCTCTCGCTCACGACCTGCCGTCAACACTGCGCTCTCACTCTCAGTAGGAGATTTTGTTTTACCGGTGTGAGGTATGACATAAACCGGCCGGGTCCACCACGGCGTGGACCCGACCCTCGCGCAACCAATCGGCAACACTCGCCTTTGGGGAAGTCCCGGGGCGGGCGAAACCGAGGCCGACACCCACGTCGCCGCGTCGCGACCTGGCCCAACACGCCGCGGCACTGTACGGCACCGATCCCAGCGCGCGCCGCGAACTTGAACTCGCGCGCCGCGCCGGCCTTGCGTCACCGCTATTTTCTACGCCGTCCGTCCGGCCGGGCGGCGGACCGGCGCGCCGGAGTCCCGGACGGCCCGGCGGCGGCCCGGGCGGGACGCACCGGCCCAGAAACAGCGGAGCGCACGCAGGGCACGGCCCGCCAAAACTTTCTGACATTTTGAAAAGGCGGGCGGCACCGCGGCGCCACGCCACGCCGCCTTCCTGGACTGGGACTGGGGCACGACACCGGCCGTCCCTCGGCCCGTCCCGGCCGGCTGCTGGAACGCCTCCAAACTCCAGCCGAGCCTCTGGAGCGGCGGGCATTCCGCGCAAGGCGCTGGCCTGGCGACGTGCGCGACGTGCGCGCCGAGGCGACACCTGCAGGACCTACAGGACCTGCAGCAGGCCCCTTCCGCGCCACTGCCTCCGCATCGCCGCGCCTCCGCGGTCCCGGCTCGGCCTGCCCGACGACACACTGTGTGTCACACACGCCCTGACCCACAGCCCCAAAATAAGCCGAGCCGCGGAGCCACGCCGTGCCACGCCACGCCACGCCATGGCGGAGCGCAGCAAAACAAATGACGCAATGTCCACATTATCTAACCGGCGGGCGCCCTCGACTCCCTCGACGAGCCGCCCGGAGCAGCTTCCACCCGCCCCGCCACGCCCCGCCCCGCCTCCGCCCAGAGCCTTGACATTGGAGTCCCCGGGCCAGCCCTGGGCCAGCCCTGGGACGGCCCACCGACGGCCGGGCAAGGGTTCGCTGCGTTGGGAAAGGACAAACCGCTAATTGCAGTGGGCAGGTGGCGAAGCAGGGCAAAGCACAAGTCGTAAAAAAATTAGGTGACACTTGAAAATAAAATATGAAACTGAAAATAACATTTTGAAGACAGCGTTGGCGAAAGCAACATTCCGAGCAGGGCGTCCGTCCTGTCCACGGCCGACGGGTGGGATCGCCAATCGGTGCGCGGGATCGCTATCGACGGAAACGAAAACCGCACGCCGCAGAAATCGAAATCACGGAGCCGAATCCGCTTTGGGTTGCCTTCTCGGCCGCCTGCCTTTGGCGTGCCGGGCCGCCGTACTTGGCTTGTAGTGTAGTTGCAAAGCGTTGCAAAGCCCGCCACTAAAATCAGATGAGCGGCCGGGCGGGGCGGGGCGGGGCGGGGCGGGGCGGGGCGGGGGCTCTTCCTCCGCAAGTACGTGTAGGAGAACGCCCGGGCCGCCACCAAGCCGCCAAGGCGAGCAAGGCAGCCGGACCAAGTCGTGCGGGTAACCCACATCGCTGGCCTGCAAGCCTGCGAGGGGCCCGCCCCGCCCCGCCCCGCCCCGCCCCGCCCCGCCGCCCGCCCTTATGCAACGCCGATGGCTCGGCCCAGCTGGACCAATACCGGCCGCCCGGCGGGGCGGGGCGCGGCGGGGCGGGGCGGCACTGAACCAAAGATGCGCACGGCCAGGCGACCATCACGGCGTCGCGTCCAGTCAACCGAAACGGAAACCGCTCACGAGCGACGACGCAAAAAAACAACAACAAAAACAACACACACACACACACACTCAGAGTCGATCCATATACTTCCCACGCCTTCCTCTCCTCCCGACTCCCCCACCTGCCGAAAAACCTTTCCGACTTCGCCCCGTCCCGTTCGCGTGCTGACACGATGTCTGTGCGTGCGGCGTGCGTGGTGGCCCCATCGCTACAATGGCGGCGGTACAGTATCGGTGACGACACTGTCGGGGCCTTGCCGCGGTGCCCCGCGCTATGTACGTGAGGCACGCGTTGCCACACCGACACGGCACCGACGGCACCGAACGCGCGCGCTTCAAACGTGAGAAACAGCGCGCCCATTAGCCGCATTAAGACAACGTTCGACAACGTGCGCGCGTGTGTGTGTGTGTGTGTGTGTGTGTATGTCTGTGTAGGTGTGTGTGTGTGTGTGTGCGCGCGCGTGTGTGTTTGGCCCACCGTGAGAGGGGTGGGGGGCGAGAAAGGGGTGGTAGCGAAAAAACAATGGCATTGGAAAATCGAGGACTTGCTTAGCTATCAGACAATTTTAATTTGAACATTCGAAAAAAATAATAACGAAAATCTTCTTTACGACCTTAACTATATTTATTGGCTTTCAGATCGATGTTTACATCTCGAAATATCGAAACGGCTTCGGCTGCCGTGACGACAACGCGCGCAACGCGCACCGGCGTGTCGCCACTCGTCCGGACCAAAACAAAACACCCCGGCTGGCGGTCCAGTTTTGACTCCAAACAAGACCACCGCCTCGCTGCCCCAGTTCGACGGGCAGGGCAGCCAGTCGGGCAAGCCGCCCCCACCGCAGACAGGCACAGCGACAGCGGCAGTGGCGGCAAAACTAAATTGGTCGAGGCCAGGACGCGGTCCAGGACGCGGTCCAGGACGCGGTCCAGGGGGTGGGGGTGCTTCCCTCCTCCTTTTCCTCTTCCGAGGGTCCTGTCCGCGAGGGGCTCCGCGGCGGCGCGGAGTGGGGCGGCCACGTGGTCCCCGCGGCCCAGCGGCCCCGCGGTCCCGGGGGCGGTGGGGGAAGGCTGCACGTGCACAACGACAACCCCTCGCCGTCAGTCGCCTCCCGACCGCGCCGACGGCCACACCGAGTGGCTGCGTGCGCGTGCCCTCCCCGCGCGTGCGTGCGTGTGTGTGTATGTGTGTGAGTGTGCGTGAACAAAGAGTGTGTGTGTGTGAGTGTACTGTGAACCAGTGAACAAGTGCCACGCATTTCCAAGGGATTTACTTGGAGGGAAGAGGCGAGCCAAGGGATTACTTACGACAGGCCGCCTGCGAAACGTGCAGGGCTCAACCCTCGTCAAGGTAAGGACATCGAAAAATGAAATTTCTAACCGACAAAAGGGTGAATCCAACGACAGTTAATAGTGTACCCTCTCAACTTCCTCACTGCAAAATGTCGATATTTAATTTTTTTGCCCCCTACTTTACATCTCATCATCTTAACCCCTTTATTAACCGGTTTTTAGTCTATAAAACCTGCGGGCTGCAAAAACTCCAATGACGGCAGCCGGCGCGGCAAAAAGCCCATTACGTGCTTTTCTCAATGAAGCCCATATAGAGCGTGCCGTTCTTCTAGGCGGGTGTCATCCCGACCGGGAGAGCAGATCGAATCGACCCTATCGACTGTAAAGCGAGCAGTGCAGTGGCAGTGCCACCGGGAAATTACCAAACGGGAGAAGAAGTGGAAGACAGAGAGAAGGGCGACTCGCACTGCATACGGCACGTCACCGTGAGAGCGTACAGGTCACCACCGAATCACCCGAAAAAAAGAAAGAGGGGAAAAACCTGACGACAGCGTCCGACAAACCGCTATTGTCTAGCTGGCGTACGTGTAACTCAACTCGCTTACGGAGGCGGGCCGGGGGGCGGAGGCCGGGGGCCAGGCCCTGAAACCGGGGTAGGCGTCAAACGCTCGGCGGGAGGCTCCCAGTGGCCTTGCCGGCCGTGCGGGCGGGAACCCGGGAACGCGGTCAAGTGGTGACGCAACAAAGGCATGCCGAAGACCAGAGGCCATCATTCAAAACGCGGCGACAAGTTTCGAGCGGCGCGGTTCGAGGAACGCGGAAACCGGGTGAAAAAGTGCACTACTTTGGGCGGTGTCTTGGAGCGGGGCTCCAGAGCATTCTCTGCGGCTTCTTTAGTGGAGGTGCGATGCGAAAAAAAATTGGTGACATTTCCCTCGTCTAAAATTGGCCTCGGTCAAAACTTGGTCATGATCACGGTCTCCTTGTAGAGCGGGGAATGCTGGCTTGAGCGCACTGCTTGGGGCCGCCCCCCATTCGGAGGTGAATGCATTTCCGCAGGCCCGAATGCCACGCGGCAACAAAACACCTTTCAAGATCAGGCCGGCGCGTGCCGGCGCCTCGGAAAACTCGAACGCATTTACGTAATTTTGCATCCGGCGAGGCAAAGCAAGGCGAGGCAAGGCCAGGAAGGAAGCGCCGGGGAAGCGCGCCGCCGCCAGCCGGCGGGCCGCACACCGCTAAACCCGCGGCGCGTACGGTGCGTCGCGCTGGGCGCGGGCCACCACACTGTTTTGAGCTCTAGAGTCGCTAAATGGGACTCGAACCGAGCGTGTGACCCCACCAATGGATTCCTCGTGTGGAGAGCAATCCATTGGTGGGGTCACACTTGCGGTTCGCGCCCTTAGCGACTCTGGAGCTCAAAACGCGTCCGGGGTTTTGACCGGCCCACTGTGTGCCCACTGTATACAGTGCCGGGAACAGAGCCCCGGTACACGTCGAGGCCATGATGGCATGCAGGGCCTGCAGGCGGATGTTGGCGGACTTTCGCCCAAATGCGACCGGACGCGACCGGGACGCACCGGGACGCACCGGGACGCCCTTCGAACCTTATCTCCACCTCGAGAGTCAGTCTCTCGCGAGTCTCCACGTGCGCGGGACGCGGCCGCCCGCCTCTCTACACGGCCAAAATCAAGTTCACTATACTTTTAGATATTTTTAACAAAACTTTTTCCAAAAAAAAAATTAAGTTTTTGAAGTTTATTTTGATGTTTTTTTTTTATTAAATTGTGTTTTTTTTTAAAGTTTGCAAAGTGACCCAGCTATTTTTTAAAAATAATACAACGGTAAATTTGATGGATTGTTTACAATAAATTCCAACAGCAAAAGATTTTCTTTTAAAAATGAACGCCGCTTTTCCAATTGATTTTCTTCGTCACTCTCTTTTTTTCTATAAGAGAACCGCTGCGCTGCGGCTGGTCGTTTTTCTCTGCGCAACGCACTCACTACTCCTTGTACCTTTTATTTTTTTTTGCCCGCGCGCGCGCCACACGACTCTATTACCGGTGCAGCCAATCTGGACCGAGGGGTACCTCACTTCGAAAACAGGTGTACACTGACTGGTGACTATACTCAATTTCCACTTTGACTAGACTGAAAATATGACGAAATGCGTTGCAAAAATACTAAAATTGGGACAAATTTACGTGGTTTTGCCGACTTTTTCAGTGACTAGACTGAAACAAGGCAGTGACTGGAGTCAGGGGTGTACACTGACTAGACGAAGTGAGGTACCCCTCGATCTGGACCAAGTTCGCGAGGCGGTGCGCGGCGTGCGCGTGGGCGGCGGCCTGCCTGGTTATGTTTGGCGAGTGCGGCAGGGCGCGGCACGGCACGGCAAACTAAGGCACGGCCTGCGATGCCTTATCCAGATGCCTTACGCACGGCGGCACGGCGGCACGGCGGCCTTACACAACAACAATGTGAGAAGCATGCTAATTGAGCGGAGCCCCCCGAGTCATCCCCGTGAGAGAAGCATCTCCGTCTCCCTCGCACCCCCCGCGAGTGCGAGGGAGACACACTGCGAGGGCCGTCCCCGAGGCAAAACGGCGCGGGAACTGCATAAAACGGGTTTAGGAAGGGGGGCCGTCTTACGAAAAATCAGGTCGCTGCACCGTGCTACGCGATTCGTCCAGAATCCGGGAAACGCACGTGCGTTTTTAAGTGCACTTCCGGGAAATGCGCGCGACAACACCCACGTTTTACAGCCCTCTTCATTACCTCACCGCCGTGTCCGTGGCGACAAATGGACGCGTGCCAATTGGAGGGGAGGGGGCGGTAGCAGCAGCATGCCTCACTAACCTCGTCTTTCACCGGGCCGAGCCGAGCCGAGCCTAGCCTGGCCGAGCCGGCAGCAGACTTGCTCGAAATTAGCGAGTAAACAAAGCATAAACCCCTTCCGCGGCGCAGCGACTCCGAACCTAGCTTTCGTCGTCGCTCCGTCTCTCTCGCACTCGAAAGGACGCCCGTCCCCGCAGGGGGGTGCGAGAGAGACAGAACGCTTGTCGCATTCAGAGACTCGGTTTGGTGCCGTGCCCGCTCCGCTGCTGTCTTGCCAAGTCGCCTGCAGTGGCGGTCCGCTCGCCGCAGCCCGATGCACTGTAAAGCCGCAAGCTCGCGTCGTCATCGTCCGAAGGTTCAAATCCCGTTCACGCGCCTTTGTTTATCGTTCGTGTTAGCCCCAGGATAAAAGCTCAGAGTCAACAGTCGAGGAGTGTGTGTGTGAGTGGGGGGGGGGGGGGGGGGCGCCTGACCGATGCGATGAACCTACCTGTCCAATCGCTGCAGGTGCGATGCATACCGACGCGTGCCAACACACACACACACACATACACACACACACGCACACACCCTGTGACCATCCCCGTCCCGATTTCTCTCCCCTAGCCGGCTCGGCACGTCGTCTCAAGGCCGCATAGGGCGCGCACACACTGTCAAAAAATAACTCTTTGAAAACTTTTGCATCAGTTTCCGGCAGAAGTAGTACAAAAAAATTCCTTTTCGGCAACGCTCTTTCATGGATTTTCAAATCCATTTTCAACAGTGTGTCCGTCCCGTCCGGATACGCATCCCCAAAAACCATAGCCAGGCCCGGCCCCGCCTTTTCCCCGTTGCCAAACAGTCCCGAACGCGTCCCACCCGTGAGTGGTGACGTCACGCGGTCACGTGTCACGTCCCGGATTGGCCGCCGGACCGGGCCGCGCGTGCGTGACGCACCAATCCGGATGCTGCACGGCACGCTGCAATGCCTGCACTGCCGCCGCTGGCCCGCGCGGCGCGCCAAAATTCAAACCGTCGGCTGTCCGCAAGCAAATAGCGGCAGCAGCGGCGTGTTTCCTGTCTCTCTCGCTCTCCATCGGGACGGCCCACGAGTGCGACAGAGAGAGCGATCCTTCGCGACCAGCCGTCGAATTTAAATTTTTCCCGCCCGGAAAAGTGTCCCGTCGCGTCACATCCGCGTGCCCGCATTTTCCCCCTCCCCTTCCCCCTTCCTCCTCCCTCCTGTCCGCACGTCGCGCAATTTAATTGTAACGAAAAAGTCAGCAGATCGGCCACATTCCGGAGGAAGCACGGCGCTGCAACGCGCAGTGTGCAACAATACGGATTACAATGCGAGCACACCACACACACACAGTGCGTGTGTGTGTGTCTGTGTGTGTGTGTGCCTCAGCAATGCTGGCAATCATACACAACAATGGCGAAAGTGGTGGGGGAGAGGAAGGGAAGGGTATTATACTGCATATCATGGTGCAATATAAAATAGGCAGCGGACGGGGTGTAAACAAAACCACACGCTCGCACACACACAGACCCGCGCACACACACACGAACACTCACACACATAGGTGCCAGCGAGCGAGGAGCATATCAAAGTACTCTAGTGCATGGCGCACTTCAATTGTACGAGTGCGCGAAAACCTTTCTTTTAGGGTAAACGTTCCCGGTGCAGTGAACAGACCACTCTCAACGAGTGACCCAGACCACTGGCGGCGTTGCTCTTTCGGTGTATAGGACCTACACTGTAGGCAGCGTCTCGACATTTTCCAGACAGCGAGAAACTGGAAACCAGAGTGTCTCCAAAAAAGCACACGGCCCACGCAGTGCAGTTCTGTAAAGCGTGTTTGTCTTGTCGCTGTCTCTCTCGCACCCCAACGGCACGCCCGGCCCGCATGAGAGGAGCGCGATTTCAGCGCGGGCCTGTCGACATCTCGCCGTGTTCGAGATCTCGAAGTCCGTCGCGCGCGCAAGGACACGCCGGGCCGGCACTCCCAAGCAGCTCTGTCTCTCTCTCTCTCGCACCCCTGCGGGACGCCCCACGAGTGAGACAGAGACAGAGCGACAGGGAATCAGCCGGCCGGCCAGCGGCTACTGCTGATCGAGTAATCGCTCAGCGCGTTGACGAAACGGTCGGACAGAGTCCTTGTCCGAGCGCCCCGGCCGCCTCGCCGGCGAAGCCTGCCTGCTGCAACTCCAATCTCTAAATATTGCCCAAGTACGCCT